CCAGGGTGGCTGTGGCTACAATGTAGCTTGTCATCACCAGTGTGTGAATGTGTGTGTGAATGGGTGGATGATTGTGTATAGTGTAAAGCGCTTTGGGGTCCTTAGGACCAAGTAAAGCGCTATACAAATACAGGCCATTTACCATTCTATTAAGTGTACACTTTGAGTACACAAAATAAAAACAAGGGTTTCAACAAATGTCCTTGAAACCACAGGGTACGACTTTACAGAAACAACAGAGACTCTTTATTTCTCCATGAACACCAACACATTTCAGGCTTCTTGCATAAGTAACCCTCATTTCCTCCTCAGTCAACAATATCCTCCTCTTCCATAGCTGTCACTTCAGTCCTTTGCCCACCACTTCACCCCAATAACAGCTCTGCATGGCTACAAATCTGTGAGTTTTATTGACCATACACAGTATTTTGTTGCAAACTCAGTGCTAGTTTGACCCTGTACAGTATGTACAACGCCTTAGCATTATACTTATAATATCGCATTAAACTGCCATCATGTAAGGACATTTCAAAGGCAGACAATTTGAACAAACTCGTTAAGCTAGTATTAGCTTAATTAGCTAGCTTGCTCTAGTTTAAAATGTACTAACAGTGGTTATTTCAAATGACTGTAGTCACTAGTCGCTGATTAAAGATCCTGCTTTAGTCTACATATTTACTAAATTATAGGTCAATAAAAGAGAATGTTATGCAGTAACACTGACATTATTATAATATGCAAAAAACTGAAGTCACTTTAAAAGAAACTGAACACTTTAGCACTCTAGCTAGCTTTGGATAAAAATGGTAACAGAAGAGCATCTTAAGATGATAGGTACATTTATGCTCGATAAACCTTTCCCAATAATCTAATTATTTAACACACAGAAGTATGACAACTATTGTGTGATACCTATCAATCGTTATTAACACCATCTGGCTTAATGGCAGGGAAAAAACAAACAAACCACTAAACCCGTCACTGGAGTCACTCAGGAGACTATAAAAAGATGGACAGGTGTGAGGAATATACACGCTTTATTCTCTGCAAGACACATGCCATGACATCATCAAACAGCTATCCCTTTGACACTGCAGTGCTGAGCTCTGGCCTACATAATACTCGCCAAAGCATCCCGACCAAGTCATGTTTATAAAAAGCAGATGAGCTGGCTCTGCCCTAAGCGGGGCCACAATGATGTTATGCTACTGTGAGCACCATTAATGACTCTGTAAACTCCACTTCAAAATATCACGCTTTCATATAAAATAAAGACGACCTAAAAAAACAGATTTAAGTCACCAGGCCTCCATCCTTTATTTATTACTGTTTATTACTGAAGCCACTGAAAACTCATTCTGTTCACTTATAGATGAGTGCAGCTGTAAATAATCAGTAATGCTGTTTTCATAGTTAGTCACTGACCACTGAACTACAGATACTACTACATGAACCTATGCAGTTATGATACAGAGCAGATATAAATGGAAAGACAGTTGAACTAAAGCATGAATGTAACTGCATTCTTTTTCCATCCTCGTGATCTCAGCAGCCATCCAAAGAATTATAAAAGAAACTGTGCTGTATCAGTCTGCGGCATGGCAATGTGTAGCGTTTAAGTTGGCTTGGTTGGTAAAATTAACCAAGAAAACCCTGAAACTGAAACAATGTCCATGTGATTCAGCATTTCCACACGGACGTCTACAGAAATATTAGATGTGGTTATTTTAGTTCATGAGCTTTACTTTTGTTGTATGATATCTATACCGGAGTAGAAAATAAGATGCAATGAGCCTTGCATTATATCTACTTATTATTATTATTATACCTACTTACTGTTACTGTATTCTGAAAATCTAAATCTGAGGTTAGTGAGAAAAACTACTTACCTTCAGTAGAAGCAAAGTCTGAACTCACACAAGACCTTCAAAAGCACAAAAAGAAAAAGGTGATCAGTTCGAAGCATATGTATAACAATAAAAAAGGTGAGTAAATCAGTGGCGAGTGGTTAGAGATAGGAAGGCTAGCGGCGTGCTGAGAAAAGCAGTAGTTTGTGGTATGCTGGAAATGTGACAGCTCGCGTTAGAATTGAAAAATGGAGAGAAAGCAGACCAAGCTAGAGAATTAGACAGCATTACATTAGTCTGCTCTGATCCATGGTCTCGGGACTTGATTACTGACAAAGGCCAATTCATGCGTCCTCACTGTGGTCACATGTGATGACCACTGCCAAGGCCCAATCAGAGGGACCTTTGGCCTTTAAGCTTCCTTGTTTGCTAATGTCGTTAGAATGAAAATCAAGGAGAGGGAGGGTGTTTAGGTCTGTATATGTGAGCATTATTCTCACTGGCCTGTTTCACTGTGATATTGATATGACTATGGTACCTTGGTAGAGACTAATATATATTTGATTACAGGTCACCCGAACATGACTAAAATCAACATTTCGTTGCATTCCAAATTAAACAAAGTTGTGATTTCTTTTAACATGCATGCGTTTCACACTTAGCCGTGCACTCTTGAATCCAGAGCAGTACCTATCAGTTTCATGGCGCTCAGCAGAAGTGATGGGCTGTGTCCTAAACCTCTCAGAGGTCTTTCTACTCTCCCCAGGATAGATATACTGCCGGGGCCTGCGCCCCCTGTCCCTTTCCCCTCTCCATGGGGCCTCGTAGCCCGTCAGTGCCCTGCACTCCTCCATTTCACTGGAGGGGCCATTCAGGGAGAGGGATCAACAGACAGAAAACCCAAAGGAAAGAGAGAATACAGAGTTGTCAGGGAGAAATAGAGAGGGACATGGTGCAAAATAAAACTGTTTAAAAGCAGAGGTGTTGAACATTCAACCACACCTCTGGTTTTTAAAATCGAGCCTATGAGCAAGCCCATGCAGATTTTTTAACAGTTTAAACACACACACACGAGCCCCAGGCAGTATCCAAACAACTCACAGTGCCATTAAAGCAGAGACAAACACCGTACTGCAGGACTATTAGTGTTAGCAAATTAATGCATGTATGCCATGTCTACAGATTAAATGAACCACTGTGCTTGGGATGTTAGCATCACACCAGACGTAGCTGCTTGTTAGTCGTTGAGTAGCCAGATGATGTTAGGTAATAAGCGTCAGAGTCACAGCAGCCAGCCAGCGAGTACAGGCCATGCAGCATTTTACCACCTACAGCTCATTCCTGCGGCTGGTTGGAGGAGTGGTGGTGCTCTCCATGTAGGAATGTCTGAGCTGTGCGACAGACACCCTGGTGTCCTGGTGACTCTCTCCATTACTCAAACTTTCTCCTTCTCTGACCTCCTGGGGTTCCTTGGTTTGGTGTTGCAAGGTCCTCTGATTGGGTCCTCGCTGATTTCCAGCATCAGACATGGATCGACTCAGAGCTGTGGTGGAGCTGGAACTTCCTGGCCCTGTGTGAGATGTTCTGGGCTCAATGTGGGTCGCAGCCGGTCTTTTGTGGGCACGATCAGCGTTTTCCCGCTCTCTGGGTCGGCGCTCCGCCGCCTGCAGACAGGAGGTATACTCTGCTTCCTCCCGTCTAGGTCTGCCTCCAAGTCCCCCTCTAACAGGTTCCTCTGCTTCAGCCTCTCTTTGCATCCTGTACACGACCAGCTCCTCCTCACCTCGCCCTCTCCATGGGTCTTCAGTGCTCCTCTCTCTGCGCCGGATCTGTGAAGGCAAGACTGCTTTTCTGCTCCTCAGAAGGCCCTCTGTCTTGACCGCCTCAGCCTCACCAGCTTCTTCCTCTTCCACCTGCTGTTGCTGCTGCCCAGTTCTGGATGTAGAACCAGAGGTCATGGACAAATAACTGGGGTAATTGCCAACTTCTTGCCCTCCCTGTGGACCAGACTGGCTGTGCTGAACTTGTGGATGATGGTGGGAGTAGGCCTGCTGTGGGCCTAGTGGGTCTGCGTGGTAGCGTGTAGAAGCCTGGGGCTGGTGCTGAAATTGTCTGCGGTACACTAGGCCTTCTGTAACATTTCCGAACTCTGGGCTCTTCTGGCGGCCCTCCTCCCTGACAAGCCTCTCCCTAACTCTGATTCTTCAGGGAGACAAAGGACTGGTTAACATTTGGAAAACATCAATAGGCAAAGCATAGCTCTCATAGAAGCTCAGAAAGATGACTTTGATTGTGATCCTTTGTGTGTCAGCCTTTGAGCACTAAAGGAGGAGCTCAGCCTCTTGTTTGACATTAGGGCTGGACACTGACAAAGCATGCAGATTTTATATTTGGATGTAAGACCAGTATAAATACTGGCTCAGATGTTTAGTCTTCCTGACTCAAATATTTCATAAAACCATAAACATACCATACAAGCCAGATTAAAACCAACATACATCTTTGCCTGATATGAACTGGTTTAGAATTATTTCCAGGCTCTCTCTCACACTGGCAATAATGGTTAAATTCTTACTAAGATCTGATTCTTGAAGAAAGTATTCAAAAACAAAACAAAACACCCACAACTCACAAATCCAGTCACCGACAGCATAATTGTTAAAAAGGCAATACTGTACGAGCATTTGTCATTGTTGATATAATATGATCCATCACACAGCTGTTACCAAATGGGGTTTAAGCTAAACACAGCAAAAGGTGAGTGAGAAATGAAGTTATGGTTGGAAGCCAAGGGGACCGGAGCTGGTGACAATGAGGATGACTGTTCAGCAGACGTCCAGAGCTCAAAAGCAGAGATTATTAAACATTCGCCTGCCGGTCAACTCAGGACCCTAAGTGAGTAAATGCAGCATCATCACAGAAATTTATAATAATAATAATATTTAAAAACTGGAGCCCTGTAATGAGCTGCTGTTTAAAAAAAAGCACAGCTCATAAGGGTTGGTCCAGATGAATGGGAACATGGTAGATGATAACTGGGGGTGAGAAACAACCAGCCTTTGTCTACCTTGAAGGCCAGTTGATGAGGGAGTGGGTGTCGCCTTCAGCATCAGTCTGGAGGAACCAATCAGTACTAAGTTTCGTCTTTGCACTGCACCAAGAGAAACCCAATGGGAAACGTGATTGACTGGGCAGTTGGGTCTGAATTCAGTGTTGAGGTCTTTTTCTTGAAGCATATAAGCCGAGACAAAACTACATTACACACTCCACTGACTTCACATTAAGACTGACTGAAGAGACACTGAGTTTAGCAATCAGCACAATCCCAAGAACACAAGTTTAACTCCCACACGATACATTTAATTGCCACAGTAAAAATATGAATAATAAGTCTCATATTTAAGGCTTGTTGAATTATGACCAATGGTCAGATAGTGCAGTTATATTACATCAGATCTTATTACATAGATAGATGCTATCTATCTATAGATCGCATCAGTGTTATCAACAAATGAGTGTATCTGGAGAGAGGGCTCTTTAAATGTACGCTTCTGTAGCTGAGGTTTTATCTGCAGAAGCAGATATTCAACGGAAATGCCATCTCACTCCACCAGAGCCAGATGAGTCATGCTGGCCCTCTGATGCTGAGTAAAGGCAAACAGTGTGAATTTTTCACTAAGCACAGATCAGAGTTCAGCAGAACTGGAAAAATGTTGATCAGTTATAAATACATTAAGAGATTAACTGAAGAATGAAGGGAGGAAACAAAAATCAGTTTGTGAAGCAAATCTCTTTTTTAGGGATACAAGAACCTGAATTTAACAGCTCACTACACAACACAAAGTCATATCTGTTAGCCTTGGATTCAAGTGGGGAAACAGACCTGACGCAGGTCATGAGGTAGAAATGTTTTACTTGAGTAACTGGAGATTACAAATTACAAATAGTCTGACTGGACCAATCAGTTTGGCTCTTCCTCAACTATAGCAAGCCTCATGTCTCTGTGTGGAAACATTTCAACTCCTAAGCAAATCGATAGTTGCAACAGAATTAATTTTGACCAGCTGACTGAATATTTAGAAACCTTAGACAGTCTACTGAATAAACTGCTAGCTTCCAGTACTGACACTTGTGGTTCGGTAAGAATAATAAGTTATCATCTGCGTATAAACGTATTGTGATTTATTGTAGATTATACACCTTTGATGAGGCTATTCTGTTGGACTGCTGCAGCGAGCGCCATTTGTGAAGCAAAGATGTTAAAATCCTTAAGATATCCACTTTATTGTACAGCACTTAGGAAAACACTACAACTTGGAATTTTGATACTACTACAAAAATAACAAACTAAACTAAACTGTTAGTGGATAATCAGTGCAGCTCTGCACTTAGTTTGCAGAGCTGTGGCTTGGGTGGTAGAGTGGGTCTACAAACTGAAGGGTCACTTGATCCCACGCTCTTCCAAGTCCAGAATGCATGAGATTTGCAGTAGAAACTCATTTGTTGAGCTTGAGTGCTCAACTTTGTGGAAAGGCACTATATAAGTACCGTTACAGTTTATTGTTGTGTTGATTATTTTCTGTCACCAGTTCCAGAAAGTTTCAATGCTGATAAAGGAGATGAAAATGATCGTGCTGGAATAAAAGTGCATCAAGCTTTTGCTAATGATGACATTTGGGTTGCTCTGAACATTTCACTACAAGAGCTAAAACGTAGCATTTCATATTAGTCTCCCACACATCCAATGAAAAAGGAGAGCGGAGACACTCCTATTTGCTTGTTTCTCCTCAGGGTTCACTGGTCTTGATCAGACCCAGCTGTGGGTCAGAGATGTAGCTGTGGAGTCACACTGAGCTGCCCAGTAACACAACACCCTCCCTGCACCATGGACACACATACAACCTGGCCAAGTTTTGAAACCTGAGAGGGAAACTGAGGAAAGGAAAGAGGGGGCAATGCAGAGGGGAACATAGATGGGTTGGGAATAATGTCCTGGACGGATGTAGAAGCAAGGAATGCACCTTCATATGTTTGTTTGCAGTGGAACAGTGCAGGGCTGGAGCCTGGTCATGATCTGGGTTGGGCAAGAAACAGGGGTGCATACACTGATTCTCTCTTTTCCAACAGTTGTGGAGCTGAAACAACTCTTAGCACGTCCCCTCTAAAGAGCTGCTAGCTCAGGTGTTTTAATATTTGGGTGTCATTTTTGTCCTTTTAGCCACCATTTAATCATACAATTAAAGGATGGACTCACAACGACAGTGTTATCCATTCCTCCCCTTAGGCAAATGCAGTGTATCATTTTGGTGCACATGCTAAAGTACTATCTACAACTTAGTAAGAGATCCTCTGTGAATCTGAAAAACACCCCAATTTGTTCTTCAAGACATCCACCTGAAATCTCTAGAATAAACATACAGCACAGAACAGCACAGGCAGACCAATCTGCCCAGTTGTAGGTGACTGTGGGAGCTGGTCTGTTCCAGAATGAGCTCGGATTGCATGACCTTGTATCAAACAAGAGTCCTGCTAAGAGAACGACCTTGGACATGTGGAACGAACAGAGCAACAGTGACAGAAATAGATGGAGAGATGGATCCATCCTTTAAACACAATGCAGTGTGAACAGCTGTTAAAGTTCTGGTTCAAACCCCATGTTTGTATGTGAAGGGGATCTTGGGAGCTTAATGTAGAAAAAGCCTCCCGAAACAAGGGACAATTTATGTATAAAGTAAAATATGAAACCCCTCAAAAATCTGGAGTCACGTAGAAAACTCAGGGTTGTCCATTTTCAACCAAATCAAACTTAAAAAAAAGAAAACGGTTTGCTACAACAATGTGTCTTCCTCCCTCCACAAGTCACAACAAGCTAATCTTGTTGTGACACCATTGTTACAATTTAACAATGGTGTCTCAGTTACCAGCAGAAAAACATGGATACATCTATGTTTCTGCAAATGCAGTGACGTCTGACCTTTTTTATTCCATGTTGTGTTGAGAGTGTTGCTGTGTTAGAGGGAGTACTGCACACTTTGGTATGAAATTTGATCTTTGCTTTTTTTCAAACACAAAAACAGTTCAAGTACCCCAAAAACTTTAGCAAAAGTGTATTTTACCATTGTTATGTATAAATGGATTTATTTAAAAAAAAAAAAAAAAAAAAAAAAAGATCTACCCCCAACAAAAACAAAGATGAGATCAAAACACTCACCCCTGTCTACTGAGGACGTTCTGGGCCTGCTGCTCAATGAATAGGTCACCAGGAGACGCACCATGTTTAGGCGAGGAGAGGGAGGGGTGCCTGCCTTGCTTGGGTGAACTGGGTGGTATGCCAGTCACTGTGTAGTCTTTTGCAGGCACCTTAGCAGAGGAGGACGATGATGTCACATCCATGTATGAAGAGGAGGATGGAGGCTCAGGCGGAGCGGCCCTGCGCTGATTCTCCAGGTTCATCAGCCTCTCCCTCTCTGAGAACAACTCCACCCTGGTGTGACCAATATCACAGCCTGGGTCCGGGTAGCCGTGTGGCGGAGCTGAACGGCCTGCCCTTGGGCTAGTAGCTAAGGTACTGGTGTAAGCACTTAGGGTGATATCTCTGCCTTCCTCTCCCACCAGCTCCCCTCTATTACGTCTCTCTGAGCAGTCCGAGTCTTTGTGAGAGCGGGGGTAGCGGGAGTGATGGTCCAAGTCGGGTTCCTGATCCAAAGAGATGCCGTAGCGTTCGGCCAGCTGCCGGCGCCGCTCTGCCTTGTAGCGGGCGATGCGTTCAGCCTTGGACTCCAACTCAGGAACACCTTTGGTCGGACCCGAAATGTGAACTGGCTCAGTGTGGATGAAGGACTGAGGCTCAGGCCTGCATCGAGCTCTGGACTGGCGCTCTGGAGCCATCAACTGCATTTCTGGGCTTTCAAATCCCTCCATGCCATAACGCTGAACGGTAACTGGTGCAAGAATAAACAAGTCATGTCTTTGTTGTGTAGAAAGAGACACGATAGTCTGTAGTACTGTTCTTGTCTCACCAGCACAGGGGTCAGAGGCCCTAGTGTATCGTGGAGTGTCCTCCTCCAGAAGCCGGTTGGCCACCAAGGTAGGCAGCAGAGACGGATGTACTTCACCCTCTATACCCTCCAAGCGCCGAGCAATGCGCTCCTTTCTAAGCACAGAAAGAAAGGGAAGAGTCACCTTTACACATTATTATCCTATGTAGTATTATCTTTATTACTGTAGCATATTTATAGATGCATCATTATCTCACCTGTTCATTTCCAAGTCACTTGTGCTTGTGGTAATGCCCTCAAATAGTTTCCTCAATTCAGAGACTTAACAAAAATAAATAAATAAGCAATAAAATCAGTACAGAATAAGCAGATCTAATTAAATGTTTAATTGGTCTAAGATGACAAATTTTGGATAGATTTTGGCTCACAGGAAATATTTGTAGACATGCTTTGGTAATATGTAATATGAAAACATACCACTGAGCTCACATATACATATTATCATAAAATCTTAGTTTGATTAAATCATTGATGTTATATGTTTAATGTTTCTGAATCATTTCCAAAATACTATTTTCCACTAATCGACACAGAAAATCTCACAAAACCAACTTACAATTTATGTTATTTAAAAAATAAAACAAAAAAACCCCCATGAATAAACCCTCCTGAGACCACTGGTTTAAAAGCCCTTATGAACTCGGATGCGTCTTACTTCTATCAGTGGTCCAAGCTGGTTTGAGTCCACCCATGAATCAATGAAATTACAAAAGCACACCCACCCGTCTATATATAGACTACACAAGTCAATGTCAGCATAAAAACCAACAGGATCGTCTGCATCTTATAAGACAGGATTGCAACAAGGCACAAAAACAGGAACATTTCTAAAGGGGGAAAAAATTCTCAACCCATCAATGATAAAAGCTGGGAAGCACCTAAATCTGGCTGCCCAGACTTTGGTTATTTAAAATCTTACCAGAATCTATAGCAACAACAATTGACCAATGATCCCCATCTAATGGAGCAGAATGGCAGAAACCTCCAAAACAAAGGTTTGCCAAGTTTCAAGGATTGTTCTCAGGAAAGCTTCTGACATTTCACCATTTCACTTCAGAGATACTTCAGCCAAGGCAAAAACGTCTGCCTTTCATTTATTTACATAAAAAAAAAAAAGAAAAAACATAGTTTTGACTTTGTCAGTGCAGAGCATTGTATTGTAAGAACTGCAGAGTAGGATGAAGCTGATCTGTGGAGTGATGGGTTCACCAAAGAAACAGCTGATTGTAATTATTGTAATTATTTGTCACAACATAAAAAGATGGATCCATCCACCCACTTCTGCTCCTCTAATCCAGGATCACTGCCATTTCTCTGTACTTTATTTTTAAGAAAAGGTATATTTCAAATATTCAACACGTATTCTCTAGTGAATGAAGAAAAATCAAAAATCATATTCAAAATGTTTACATTTGATTACTTACCATGTTACAAAAGTCCACAGAGTTTATACACGAGTCAGTTTATAAACGGCTAATCAAAAGCGTCTTCAAACTTATGTGTACATTCCAGTGTGAACCACTACAGGATCTTTATTGGAACTTACATTTTGCATTAAATAAACCCCGTCAAGAAAACAAGTGCAGCATAATAACAGCAGTTCATACGTAACATTTTGCAAAGCTGGGCCTTGTAGAAAAACTGGTTTTACACAAATCTTGACTTAATTCCAACCTGGCAAACAAGCTGCTGTTACACAACAGCAACTCTGAAAAACTGTGGGAACATTGACAACGTCAGAGTCAAAAATAAATAAATAAATAAATAAAAATCACTTCACTCACCTTTGGGGAGATTGGCCAAGAGACTAACATCTATATCCTTGGCGCTTTTGGCTGGGTCGTCCTTTTCGTCACAGGAGAATTCTTTCTGGAAGCTGAGGGGTGCAGAAAAAATACCAACTCTTATTGAAACAGGGCTGAGCTGTGGGAAACTGGATTTGTTTACATTGTAAGCAGTTGTGAGGGGCTCACTGAATCAATCTGAATTTGATCAAACACAAATCACTGAACTATTTGCTAGAAGCGTGGTCTGTTTGAGAGGTGGTCAAGAATCTAATCCATCAGTCAGTGGATTGCGGATGAAGCTACAAAAGTATGCAATTAATCATCCGAACTGTGCATTTGGAAGCGAGACTGTAAATTTCATCAACTTCTCCATCTCCAAATATTTATCTAGATATTAGACATTTCTGACCCGTTAACACCCCGAGCCTCGCAGATATGCAGCAAATTTCTCTCTCTCAAAAAAACCCACAAAAAACCCCCAAAACAACATATTGAAGTCATTTATGGATTTGATTCAAAACCACAAATTTGCAATATAGCTATAAAAGAGCTGGCAGCAGATTACTGCTGTGAGGAAACAGTCAAGAACTGGGAAAACCCAACTCGCTTGAACTCTGTGGCTGCTGTAAGGGACAGAAACCACGGAGTTGTGAACACCCTGATACACGCGTGCATGGTGGATCCTTTCTCATCACAACACAGGAATATCTCTTTTCATCACTACTTCTTCATCTTTAGATATGCTCACCATGCATGCAAAGTGCTTTCAAAACAAAACAACAAAATATTTTCAAAAAAAATATTTTGGCACCAGATTTTGGGCATCGATGTGCCCAACAGTCTTATAAGTGTAGTGAAGGAAACTTCACAGATTAGAGTGTTAATAAGGAGGCCTGATGGTGTATTTGACAAACAGCCAACAACATTATTGAGCACAAGTTAGTTCCTCACCCATCTGAAGTACTGTCTTAATAAAGAAATTTACATTAAAGAGAATATTTTTTAATGTGATTCATGTATGAGGAAGAGAACACAGGTGTGTATATGTGGAGCTCTGATCATAGAAAGAGAGAGAAAAGAGAGGAGAGGGACACGGGAGAGACCACTGCGAAGGTTGCTTCTTAGTTCTAGAATGAAAAGAAAATAACGTCTCCAAGAGCCAGAGCTACTTCGTTTATGTGCAGCAGTCTGTATCAGCAAGTGCGTGTATTGATGAACAAGTAAAGCAGTGTTGTGCAATGTCATTGTTCCTATTCTTTATTGTATAGCATGGGAAGAGTAAGCAAACAAAACATGGAAAAAGGAAAAAGATTATCCCGGTTGTGAGGTTGACTTACGGTGCTGGATTTGTAATGAGAGGAACCCCTGATAACGGACAAGGTGCAACTCTTACAGTTCACTGTGCATTACCATCAGCAATTCTGCAGTATTCAAAGTCACTACTCTGCATACAGCACTGTGCCTTCAGCTAAATTCTTCACTCGTTCTCGAGGCTTTTAAAGTGTTTCTTTGCACTTTGGTTTGCTTTTTCACTCATTTTCAGCCCAGTCCTTCTACACGACCATCGCAAAGGAATGCTTGTTTGAGCCATTTAACACTGACCTAAGAATCATTAGAGCATAAAATGGGACCCAACTTAAGGGATAACCAGTGTTGGGTCTACAGATAACAGACAACTTAAAGAACGAACTTAAATTATTTATTTAGACAATTTGTTACCATTAGCCTGTGGCAAAAACGCATCATTCTTTTTACTTTCGTGACCTGAATCTATGAAAATGTTCAAGATAGCACAAGCATAAAATAGCATTTTTGCAGGAACAAGGTGAGAGCTATTAGCTGAACACTTGACATATCCGAGCATGGCGTTGGTATGCCCTTTAAAAACAAGAAAAAAAGAAAATAAATTCAGCAAAGACCTAAAACAGGATCTGAGCGATGCATCTGGCCCTTTGGTTGATCCACTTCACTGTTCAGTGAAACCTCAGGCATGGCTGTCAAAAAAACGCTCTTAAGGAAGGGAAACAGGAAGGAAAGGCTGAGGTATGCCAAACTATACAAGGACTGGATTGAAAACCTGCGGCAACTGATGAATACAAATTTGAAATTTTAGGTCAAAATCTTTGTCAGTATGGAAGAAGTACAACAGTATCGATGCAGCTACCTATAAAACTCAGAGTCTGTCATGGTTTGCGGCTGGATTTCAACCAGTGCTTGTTGGACAAAGGAATTTCATCCACCATGAAGTACTAGGTGTTCGATTAGAAATGGCTTCAATGTTCAGCATTACAATGATCCGAAACACATGACATACCTGACACAAACACAAGGAAACACTATCAGTCATGGATTTGAGCTCCCCTGCAGGAGCATGATGCCTGTTTGCTACATTTGTAAGTAGCACCTTTGCTTTTTAAAGGTCTTTTTGCACATCTTACCTCAATGCTCTCTTCTGTAGCAATCTGGGATTGCTTAGTTTAATGGGGTTCTCACTCCCAATTCCTGTGGACAGAAGAAAAGAGTAACATTTATTCATGTTCCACTGTCCATTAATTTCACTTTGAACCCGGGGTTGTGTCTTCAGATGAACAGATGATCAGAGCAGCTTAGGCATGTTAACGTGAAGCAGCTCTCTCTGCAGCTCCTTGGCACAGGACCACATTAATTAAGAGGCCTTCCACAGAGAAAACGAACAATGTGGGAAACAATCTACCTGTCCCACTGAATCATATCGCACAATAAGTAGTCTATGTTAGTACACACACACACACACACACACACACACCATTGTTGCATTTATATTCAGACACACTGTCTCCTTCTTAAGCATCAGTCTATGTGTTGTGCATGAGGTCATACATCAGAGCGTTTGATGGCCTGTGTACAGTGCAGTTTCACCACACATCAAAGTTGCAGTGCAGATGGGATCATTGTCACTGGGTAGCATTTCTACACTGCACCCTCCAGGAATACAGAGAGCACAGATAGTTTCCTCAGCCATCAGAAGCATACTGTATGATAAAACCTAATTACATACACAATCCAACTTTCTACAGTCTGGTGTGTATTAGGAAGAAAAATCAAGTCGGTAAACACGGGAACAATGTGGTATAAACACCTGCCTACAGAGACATACAGCCTCAGTACCCCCCCATCCCACCAAAATGGGGCATTAGTGGGTATTAAACATCACAACAGTCTCATGAGTAACCCAAGTTGTGCAACACATCCCTGTAGGGAACATCTATGCTTGCTATTTGCTCTAAACCTCAAACGTGCGGTTCTGGCTGCACTTGGACCTCTGAGTAGCCAGAGCTGTGCAATTTCGGGAGAAACATGTGGTCCTACTTCCATCTCCTCCGAGATCACCTCAAGGTCAAATCCCCCCACCCCATTAAACTTGCCCACTGCTCCACCCAAACCCCTAACATCTCCCCAGTGGCTACCCACCCCAAACTAACCCCCGCCCCTCCTTTCCCCATTCCAGATCTGTTAGTCCCTGTTAAAGATGTTTGGGTTGATGCTTTCAATCCCTCCTACTTAAGCAAAACATCATCTGAGACATTTGAGAAGAAAGGAGGCCTATTTGGAGAAGGTGGTGTGCGGGTATGGGTTTAGGGGTAGTTGAGTATTGTTTCAGCTGGATGGAATAGGGCTGCTGAAACACAGTGAGCCTTGAATGATAATCTTATTCAGAGTTGACTGCGTTTTCTTTTGACCAGAGTCCAAAAGATTAAGTCAACATCATTCAAGCAGGTATAAAGTCTCTTTACTGATCACACATAGATGAAGTTTAGATTTTATACAAGCTTAATTGCAACTTAATCTTTGGCAGTAACAGACTTTTGAACATCTAATTTTTGAGACCAGCAAAAGGTTGAGGAAGCTATTATTTCTTGATATTTCTGTGATATCATCTCAGACAGATTAAGGTCAGGACTAGGCCATTTTTTTTCTTAATTTAGTTGTGCTCTTTGGGTCAAAGTGTTTTCATCATTCCATTTTTTCCCCGAGATTCAGATCTAGAACTGATATCCTGGTTTTCTCCTATAAAAAGCTGAATCCATTGCTCCCTCGTGACTACGATGCTCCCTCCACCGTGCTTCACACTTGAAACGGTAAGGCATTCGTGTTCGGTGGTTTTCTCCTTTCAAACAGTATTTTTTTTTTTAAAAGCTTAGCTATATGTCTAATTCATCTTGTATATGTTTATTTGGTTTGCACCTAGTATTTTTTAAATTACAGTTGTTGAGATTTCCATTAGCAATAGAAAATGAGACAGTCCTGAATTAAGCTTCTCACAACTTTGAGTTAAAGCTATAAATAAATGCAATAGAGAGTTTTCTACACAATGGAATGACCACTATTGACCAAACGTCAGCTACAAAGCAATACGCGATATTGATGATACACGAAGCAGTATCACTTAACATGTGGATGACTTTACAAATGTAGCCTTCTTTAAACAAGTAGTGTTGAATATTAGACTGCTGTACTGGAGGGCAGCCTTCCAGCTCTGGTCCAGATGCCAAACTAAACATGTGACTGTGTTGGGCTCAACTGTCACAGTTAGGTTCCAAAACTCTTCAATAAGTGAAGGCTTTGTTGAGCTCCACAGACCACAGCTAATAGCCATGTTGGAGACAATTGAGGTGAAGTGAAAGACAACATTTATCCAGAGCTAACAATTACAACTCCTCGTAATTTAAGTGAAATCGAAACTTTTGTTACTGGTAAAAAGCCAACGTGTGTCTTATATCCCACTGCTTGTTCAAGAAGCATAAATAAAGAAAGAAAGTGATCATTTACCCTTTCTCCACAACTAATGCTATCTTTTACATAACCATACTAAATTGATACAAATTGTTGGGTGTTTTAATACAGACTACCACGGCCACAGCAACCACAAGATTACTTTAAAAACATCCACAATATTGCATCGCCATTTCATCTTTCTGTACTGTGATACCCACATGGAGCCATGAATGCCAGGTTAAAGGAGGTGAAGTCTGATGAAATCTAAAGATGTCTAATGCTGTTAATTTAATGAGTAAACTGGAAATACATGAGAATAAAGGATTTAATTTACTAACATTTGGATAAGAAATAATAAAAAAATAATCAGGCTTGTTCGAAGGCATTTTTGAGGCTCAAAATGTGGTTTTAGTGCCAGGGCTACAGTTGGGTTATGGTTAGGTATAAGGTAAGGGTTAGACATTAATTTTTCATGGCTAGAGAAAGCATTGCCAATTAGATGTCCTCACTAAGATATGAAAGAGAGTGTGTGTGAGTGTGTGTGTGTGTGTGTGTGTGTTATGAAGCACACCGGTTTCAGTACTCGTCCACCTTACCCCAATTGTTCTTGGCATCATTCATGCTTTTCAGATGTCTATAATGTAAGTGGTCAGTGGATTTAAATGTTTAGGAATAACAAAACTGAAAAATATCTTAATTTCCATTTAAATTATAGTGTGAAACAAAACCAGATGTAAAGTTTAACTAGCTGCTTTTGCAAAAAATAACCCCCGCCTTCTTACCCTTGGGGGCAGCCGTCTTATGCTATTGTGAAGTCTCAGACTTAATTCTTCACAAACCAGACCTGTACTCCTTTTACACCTCATATACTCTATATGCTGTGGCATGTGGTCCATCAGGAGTGACACCACCCTCCACCACCATCCCCACGGTTCCCAGAAAGGGCCTCAATTCATTCGTCATTCCAGACACAGGCATAAAAACCTCCACAAAGATCACAGATGTCCCACAGCCTTTGATGCTGGCTGTAATCTACAGAAACACTATGGCTGCTATAGCCGCAAGGGAATACGCCAGGAATTCCTCAGCACTGTGCCCCGTGTGTGTTGACGACGCTGTAAAGGCAGCTTGATGCAGATAAAACATGAGGATAAAATCATTTCACGATTCAGTGGAGTGTCATTGAGGTTCTGAAGTGTACAAGCCTTTTATGTGATGGTATCAAAGGTTGTTGTATAACGCTGTCTGTTAACAAAGAAGCTAAGTTAACTTTGGGGAGGCTCTGATAAACTTGACAGTAACATGAGGCTAAAGCTCCATGTCTTAACCCACAATACACCCAGTGTGGCAGCCAAAGAGGCATCAGTGGCTGACCATATGTCTAATTTACGATCCAGGATTAACTTTGATTCCTGGGATTACAGCAGGCCCAAAAGTAACCACCCTTTATCTGAATGAATTACATCACACCTGAAGTGCCTGACATTTAAGTCTCAGCACCCCCCACCAATTTTCCAGTTGCCCACCGATTCTGTGTGCTGGGAGGCTCAAGCTGCAACTAAAGCCTCCACACTAACAGGAGCTTAAGAATTAAGGCATTGAGGGAAAAAAAAAAAAAAAACAGATGGAGACAGAAATTAGGTGAGGCCACTGCTACCAAACAGTGTTCTAAGCACAGGGATGCCACAATAAGCCAATTAGGTCTTAAACACGAGTATTAATGGTTATAAAAGCAGTTCAGCTGCAAAGTCTGAATGAAAGCGTACTTCTACAACCTAAACTCCTCAAACAAGCTTCAAAGCATATCCTCCTCCGAACAACACAAGACTATTCTGTATGCTCACATAAAAGCCTGACACTGAGGGCCACCTGCTGCAGATTCACATCCATCTTAACACAGACAAGCAGATCTAAACACTCAGGTGTCAGTTAGAAAATATAATGAGATTCATTCAGACAAACACAGGTATCAACTAGTGGCCAATCAGTGGGTGTATAAACAGGGGTGAAGGAAATAATGCAAAAACTGTAACGTAGACCTCAACACTGATAATATTAATCTGTGATGCCACATTGTCTCTAATGCTGAGTACTGACAGGTACAAACATGTCAGTACTTCTCACATGTTTGTACCTGTCAGGACGTCAGCCAGTGCTTCTGATATACACAATATGATATTTATATATTACAAAGACATGAATAATTGGGTCATTTAGAGCACTAGACCAAGCTTTGCGTTCTATTCAAACCTTTCGAATTCAAAATTGTTGATTAATGATTGACAGCACGGTGACACGGTGGTTAGCACTGTTGCCGCACAGCAAGAAGGTCCTGTTTTAAGGAGGTTGTCGTTTTGAAATGGCGTTTTGCGACGTATTTGCTGGCTTTTCACTGAATGCTGTTCTTGTCCAGTTCACAAATTTCGTCTGAAAGAGCTGACCTTAAACAAGAAACTCAAGTTCTGAAGCAAAAATTTTAACAACGTTTTTGCCAGCAATGAAGTTGCAGTGTGCCCTCTGTTGGTCAACCTATGCAATGACCCTTTCATTTTTCAGCTTTTATAAATGACAATACTGACAGATCAGACACTACTAGCTTCTCTGACAATTCGATGTTATAAATGAAGGACATGTGTAGTGAAAACATTTAGTCAAATAAATTGTGTCAAGTACAAAAATATGTTGAAAGTATTTATTTCTGCAACACCCCATGTCTTGCTTAAAAATAGTTACTTTGTCCTGATTACCAGGTTCTACTTTTTCCCTGCACATGGAGACCGTCTTTAACAGCTTACTGAGCTCAGCTATTCACTGCTCTCTTATGACACAGTGCTTAAGTGCTGTGCAACAGATCATATCCATACAGCATCTCTGTGTCTATCTCTCTATATCCATCTCTCTATATTTCTCCATATCCATCTCTGTATCTAGATTGAAAAAAAAGAAGAAAAAAAACCCCTACTGAATACTCCTAATGACCCAAATGTTCCAAAGTCAGTAAAGTTTGTTTAATTCAGTGCAAAACCATATACACCTTCACAACACATCCATAAAACTACTTTTTCAAACGTCCAAGTAGCTATGGAGCCTTGAAATAGCTTCCTACATAAAACAGCCCCCTGCAGTATTAAGAATCCCTCATCTTTACATAGTGTCCTTGGAGGCTACAGCTGCAGTGCAAGGACAGCTGGCTGGAAAGCAGGACAGTGAGCAGAGAGGAAGGGAGTCTGCGGTTTGTTGCCTGCCAACTTCTACGAGCTTAGAGTCCCAACAGCCCAAACCAGAGTAACCTGTCCCCAAGCTCACTGCCTGAGCTACAAAATCTGAGCTGCAGAGCCCTAAGTCACTGCACTTACCTTGGCTGCAGAACTTGACGTGACTCAGGTAATTCGAGATCCATGGATTCCGGTACATTTTGGCAACAGAGTCAGGTGAGAGTTTAAGACAGAAAAGAAGTGAAAGACACGGGAAGACAGAACAGCTGACCGAGAAGTGATGCGACTACAAAAGTATTCCGTCAGTGCTCCGGGACAGGCAGAGAGGGAGGGAGAGGCGAGTCAGGTAGTATTAGAGAGAAGCAGGATAGAGGGAGGGAGGGAGGGGGAGAGAGAAAGATGTCCCAGCCGCAGTACCAGCATAAGCAGTGGTGGTCCTGACAGGCAAACAGAGGAGTGCTCAAGCTTTTGCTGCACTACACCTCTTCTCAGATTCACTCCTCTGCTCTGGCTCCTCTCACCAACCAATGTGGACTAACCGGTGCCCGCAATAACAACAACCTGCAGGTCTAAAAGCTGCTCAGCATGGGCTAAGCTCATTAGCCAAGGGAGCAAAATTAGGCCCCTTCTCTACTGCAGACTGGAGCAAAGTGTCCTGCATGCTTCAGAGTGAGCCTCGGAGAAGAGAAAGAGAGAGAGAGAAAAAAAAACAAAAAAAAAAACAGTGCATGCACGAGAGAGAGAGATAGTTATGCGAGTCCCACGAGAGCACTGCCTTCCCTTGGCTCACACACTCGAGTGGGATGCCAAAGAAACCGGTGCAGAGCGTCAGAAAAGGGAGGGAAGAGAAATAGTGCGGGGTCTGGAGAACGAGAGTGGAAATAATGAGGGCAGGAAGAGAAGACGAGAAAGTTCAAATGACCCTCTCAGTCTGATGAGAAATTCCAATCATCTCTCAGCAGGGACAAAATAAAAGGAACAGCATGGAGCTGGGCAGAAAAAAAAAGCTGGAAAGGGCAAAGAGAAGGTAAGAAAGAAAGAGCGAAACAAAGTCAGGGAAAGAACGAAGGAGCGTGCGAGCTGTAATGGGGGAAACAGAAATGTGTCTGCTCGTGACTAATGTTACCATTACACCAACAGTTTGCTTCTTCCTAGAACAACTAATAAGAGGTGCAAAGGGAAGAGAACTAGGTTGATTTATTGATATCCCCACAATTCCCCTTTTAACACACTAATCAAACGTGTTTGTGTGACTCAAGCCCACATAAACCAATGTTACACAGTGAGTCATGGCATGTAGAAACCCATTCTATTCTATTGTATGAATATGCTTTACGTGATTGCCAAGAACAAGACAAATGTGCTTGCACACTCACACCTCACCTATACGTCAATGTGACAATGACATGCTTATCACTGTAGTGAGAGGGCACTACAGGGAGGCTGGCACAGTGCCTGATGGTGCCTTTAAGAAGATACTGTGGGGGGAAAAAAGTGATGCATCTTATCTTTCTGCAGCACACAGAGAGAAAGCTGTCAGCGCCAAACACACAGCAGTCAACATAAAGCAGATCTTTTGGATGGAACCAGCCACAAATGTCAGTTTCTCAATTCACTGGCTGAAAGGTGTCCGGGGGGAGGGGGATAAAAACCACCTTCTTTAAAATATATTCATCTCAATGGAGCTCTTTTGAACTTCCTGCAAATCTAAACTAGGTTATTGGACTGTATCAAAAGCACAAACATGCATCCATCATAACATTTGTCAAAGAACATAAATCAGCCTTTTCCCACCACCTTGGACTATAAAGGTGTGCTAAGATGTAACAGGACTGTCTGACGATGGTGTGTAAACTGTAGAGGTGGCATGTCTGGATCGCTCTCCAGGATGAGCTCATCTGGCTCAGCATGTGAGTGGCGCACATGCACACATCCATCACAGAGCTGCCAGTTCACACCGTGGCTGAGTGGGTGGAGGAAGCGCTACCTGCACGCAACGCTCAAAGTGTTACTTTCAATGTCAGTAGTTTCGCAGACTGACAGACACCTGACAACTGATGCAGTGTATTCATAAAATGAATGAGTTTGCATAGAAGTGAATTTTACCTAAGGAGATAAAGGAGCTAGAGGACACCGATACTATCGGCCAAAGCTGGCCGTTAGCCGACCTTTAGCTACTGATAATCACAACTGCTGATAAATGGGAATTTCAAAATGCAAGAAACACCTATCTAACACCAGTGTGTGAATGTGTGTGTGAATGGGTGGATGACTGGATATGTAAAGCACTTTGGGGTCCTTAGGGACTGGTAAAGCGCTATATAAATACAGGCCATTTACCATTTACCTATCGACAATATTATGAGTGTTGCTGTTTAACTAGAGGCCACTCTGCAACTTCCCTGTTCAAGTGAGATTTCAGGTCCTAAGTTTCAATTAACCCTCAGCTTTCTGCCTTTTACATGCCTTTCATGCACTCTCAAAGCTTCGACATGGCATGACCAAAAATACCTACTTTCAGTAACAGGGTATGAAGGCTGGAGATATACTTTAGATAAACTATGCAATGAATCGTGCTGAAAAACAAATTATTTAACCATCAATGGTCTGAGAATGTTTTTTTCCCTTTTGAAAAGGTTATCAGAAGAATATGTTAACAGAAGCATCGTCTTTTAGTCTCATCCACTCACCGTGGGTCTGCTTACAGCATCAGGCAGTTATCCGTTTCCATCCACCATTCAGCGTTTACAAATGCGTGCAACCAAAGCCTGCTTAAATCTGATTAATCACCAATATCACTCAATATTGTCCTTGCCTACAGTGTCTGTATGTTCATATCTGTTTACAGAAGTTAAGGTCAGAGGGTTTGAATAATTAACCAAAATCCTCTTTAAGCAACTTCTCAATAAATTGTTGAAAACATGCAGAAATTTATTTAATTTGCACTTTTAATTTAAGTCAACCAGCCACTTTAATTATGTGCATTTAGCCATTTGTCTTGCCGTTAATGTCAACATATCAACCCCCCCACCACCCCCACCCCCCAAAGAACAAAACAAAACAAAACCACATACACACCACCCACACATATTTCTAAATGTGTGTGGCAACTGTACTAATGACGAAGAAAAACTTTTACCTCCCATCTGGATGTCTGCCTTATATGTAATGTTTGATTTTGACTCATCGGCTTTAGGAATGACATCAGTTCAACAAAACCACTAGACTGCTTCTGCCCTGTTATTATCAATCATGAGTCTTCAGTGCCAAGGATGGGCAAGACTTTACAGGTTGCTGCAATGATGCACTGTTCTTGTTTTCTTCGTCTTTGTGGTGGATAATCAGATTTTACTTGGCAGGATTACAGGATGACGCAGTACTGTATAAACAAGCGCACACAAAATTTAAAAAAAAAAAAGGATTTTTAAAAGCTGTTTCATCAAATATGGGGAATGTGAACAGAGTATTGTTTAATACTTCAAACAAATCAGCCGACCTAAGCCTGCTACTGATTACCTAATTTAAAAATCAATGTGTTTAAGCTTAATTTCACTGTGTTTACTTTTTAAACTCTTTTTAAATCCATGTTATAATGAAACAGAAAACAATTCCCATTTACTCTCCTTAGAAACTCTGTGGGAGCTTGCGTTTGCTCCTGTAAATGCTCACATGCAGACTATAAACCAGCCTACAACACGTAAACGAATGGTTGAATAGAGACCATAAACTGGAACAAATGGCAGCGAACATAGAAATTTAAGACATCTTTGCTGTCACACAGAAAAACACTGACGCCCATGATGAGGGTATGTAAATGTCTGACTACAACTGTGTTTCTATTGAACGAGAGCTTTTTGAGGAAACCACTAAAGTATCAAAACTCATTATTATATGAGAGAAGTGAGAAGTTGTTCTGACGGTCAAAGCTTAGGGATGATGGGTTTACGCCAAAATAAGCATGCATTCAGTGTGAGTGCAAAGCTTTTGGTATGGTCAGAGTGTGACAGCTCAATACTGACGCTTGGGAGTAAATAACTCACAGTATTTTTTTCTTTAAGGGCAAGTATTAAAATAAGTTGAATTGTCACATGCAGTCATTCTGCTAGTTTGCGTTCAATTAAAGCCTAAGCAATAAAAACTGAAAACAACTAAATTGTCAGCTAATCAATTCATAGCTTAAGCCATGAAAACAAATGAAATGTAACTAGCATGAAAAGAAAAGTAGCTTAACTGTTAAAGTTATGAAAGTAATATTTCAGATGAAGCTGCGTTACCCAAGATACTTTAAATATGTACTACAAACAGCGTCATTTGGTACGTAAGCAGTCGGTTGTTAAAATGCGAGGATGTATGGGTAGGTTAAGGCGTTAAACACTGTGAGAAAGACACTTTACGTTTTTGAAGTTTAGCATGACTGAGAGTGAAGAAGTTTGTGCTTAATATCATAATAGCAGAGACACACCTCACCACTCATCATTCCCCAGATGTTCACATTCAAGGTGGACGTTGTTTCAGTCTGGACAAGCTCACATGTGCAGCCAGTCATGGGGTCATTATTAGATAAACACTTCCAGATAGGACATGTTTGCACTTAGAATGACCCCCTGTGTGGAGAGGCATCACAACGTGTCTGCGAGGAGAGAAGTGCCTAATGGCTGCATCACATTCCCGGTTGGGAAACCTCTCTAAAGACAGAATGTGGAGAAAGAGGGAAAAGAGCGAGCTTTTCCAAGGTACTCTCTTTCTCTGGGCTCTTTTGCAGTGCTCCTAGAAATAAAGTCCAGATTTATAGCATCCCCGAGGAAAGATATCCGTTTTGTCTGGCCAGAGAGCAGTGCACGGTTCCAGTGCATGTGGCCATGCTGTCTCTGCAGATACATAACAGAGCTCAAACCCCGGCATCACAGTCATAAATTCCATATAGGGGGGCTGCCGAATGAAAGGTAAAGATATTCATATGCACACGTGAAGGGAGATAGAGGAGGGGAGGCTGAGGATAAAACTCCATTTGCCATGTTGTTAAATATCTTTTACTGGGCATGATGGGTTTTCAGTATGATGCAAACAGATTCTTCTAGGTGCCCTTTGACCTTCAAATAGTGTGTTAAGACAGAAGGTTTTTGCAACATGTCACTGACAACTTGATCTCAATATAGAGCGATTACTTTAAAAGAGTTTGGTTCCTCTCCCAGTCTGGATGCTGAATTTATTGGAGGTTTTTGAACTTATGACTACTTTAATTTGGACCATTTTAAATCATCAGACGAACTTCACACTCATGAACTGATGCCAATATCCCCCATCTCCATGATCACTAATTTTTTGTTCTTATAAATGTAACCCCACAGTGATTCTGGGTCTGCTGACCCTTCTTAGAACAGCTCTGTATCTAAAATAAAATGCCAAAACCAAATATGATAAAACAAGGTTTAAAGTCTTCTCTTCAACTAAAACACCAGAGTGCCTAGAAATGTTTTATTTTATAATATATATGAAAGACACAGCTGCTGTCCCATCATGGTTTCTGGACTCATTTTGCATCATTAACATTAGCCTCACGTCAGTTTTATGGAGAAGTAGGGCTGTGCCATTTCATAGCATCTGCACACATTTCTATGCAATATGAAAATGTCACATTGTTAGGTCATTGCAAT